AGTAGAAGAAAGATAATTTCCAAAAGATTTTAGATAAGAAAAAGACAAGTGAAAGAAGAAAAACGAATAAAATAATCTTACTGCAATATTTGTTTCAATTGTTCCATGCATTTTTTTGATCAAATCATTTAAAACTGAAAAAAAGAAAGAAAATAGGTATATAAGAAGCGCAAAATATTATACGTTGTTCTTGAGATATATCATGAGTTTGTTTAATCTAAATTTGATCACTTAATTTTCGATTGAAGATTTCTAATTCTTTAGTTAAATAAAAATTATTTTAAAATAGAGTGAACAATAAAACATTGACGTTTTTTTTATAATTCATTTATGTATGAATTGAGCCATTTAAACATATTGTCAACAATGGTCATGGCTGAGTCAATAATCTATAACCGTATTTGTATCAGTCATCAAATCAATATCCAATGAAAAATCCAATGATGCATTTAAGATGAAACTCATTTTGAAAATCTCAGATTTCTAACATGTGAAGTATATATCATTATTAGAGATTACTTATGATGTTAAACTCTTCCGATAAAATATAATCGTGAAAATGGACTAAAATCAAGAAGTTGATCTAACGACATCTTTCATTTGTATTGCTTTTCAAACAAAATCGAATGCACTATTATGAAATTGCGACTGTAGTATAGCGTCATTATTTGCGTGAAACTCTTCTATCGCAAACATCAAATATATAGATGCTGAATATACCTTCTGTTTTCATACATGTTTGTCACAATTTTATTCTGACTGTTCCATCTGAACTAGGTTTCGCCTCTCATACTCCGAAAAAAGTAAAGAAGTTTTTCAAAACTGTTTTTCGTTCTGCAGCACATGCAGAGCCAATTTGTAGTTCAGTATCATAAATGAAAAATCTTTAAAAGTTCCACTCGATGATACAGAACTATAAAAAGTTCCCTATCAGAAGTGTCGAACCTATCCAGATCAAATTCTTCCATTTGGAAACCATCTTTATTCATTGATTTCCGACGCCGGATTTGCTCTGATTCAGACAATAGGATCGGGTAATAGCTGACAATTGGAACTTATCGGATCGAACGAAACACGATGGTATGAAAGTATCTGTTATATATATATATAAATGGTTTCTTTCATTTATTTTATTTTTATTTGTTTCTTTTTTTATTTGATGCTTTTTATTTTTTTGTATTTTATTTAATTTTTATTATATTTAGTTTTTATATTATTTGATTTTCATTTCATCTATGTAATGTTATTTTTATTATTATTTTATTTTTTATTTTCTTGTTTTTTATTTGATTTATTTTATCTTTTTATTTTATCTATTTTATTTGTATTTTGGATGTGGGCGTAGGTGTGGATTTGAATGTAATTAATAGCGATATCGATATTTAAACCCATACCTCATTTGAGGACGTTGCTGTCATATTCTAGACCCCAAAACAAAACATCTAACTTAATATGTATATGATTGGATAGAATGATAAAAATACTTGATGTTACAATGGAAAAATGAGGAAAAGGATTTAATTACTTTTTGTTTTCAAGGAAATGCATACTAAAAGAAATAAGAAAATCATATGGACCTATAATAAAGTAGACCTAGATTGTTGTTTTTTTGTTAAACGTTTACTTTTCATCAATTATATTTCATAGAGATAAAGTTTATTATTCAGTTTTCTTAAAAATAATTTACAAGTAAAATTTAAAAACTTTCTCAGAGAAAAAATGGATAGACAATACATTGTAAAAATCTATTTATTGAAATAGACATCTTATATTCAATTGGCATGAGATTATTCTTCCTATCATCAATTTTCAAAGTTTTGATATAAAGTAATAGTTATATTTGAATATGATTTTTTTATATAATTTCAGATCAACTGAACTACAATGCCAAATTGTTGAAATGTATCTCTGCTTTTTTTTTTACAAAATCAATAATGCTACATATCAGACATGAATGGTAGACAGTTTATATTATATCCTATTTATTCTGTGACTTATTGAAAATATGATAAGATTTTTCATATTTTCTTGATCTCGTAGAACTTAGCGAATATCATCGATTTATGTTTATGTAGCAATTTCTAGTCCAATAACAAGTCTTGTACATTCAAAATTACGAAATATTCTATATGACTAAAATCTATAGACTAGTTCAATATCATATTTTGTACTGTGCTCTTTAGACCTATGACAACTACCAATTTTATGAGCTGACTCTTATTTGAAAACTAGGGTTTCTTTTAGATTTACGATAGTTAAAACTCCTAAGTTCAGATCAATTTCTTTCAGAGAAGCTGTTAGAACAGTTCTCAAGATCGAATTAATATGAAACTGTCTTATGTCTAGTTCGCTCTATAGAATGACTAACTCCAACAACTATTATCATGTTGGAAAAGGGACATAGAAAGTACAGAAAAATTTATTCGCTTACAGATAGTTCATCAATACTGTTGAACAATAAGAGATATACAACATTTTTATGTCCACATAAAAGAAACACAACACTCTAGCCATAACCTATAGTTTTTCACTCGTCTAAAATGCTTGCAAGCAGGTCAAAATAAACAAATATGTTCATCAGAACAGGTAGTTCATAAGCTACGTCTAACCTAGTTTTTTTCAGCTACTTGGAAATACTTCCTAGCATGTTCACAGCGAATAAAGACCTTGTCTAGATATTTTTCGATCATCCGTTCTTAAGAAAAGAAAGTTTCCTTTTTAATTCATGTATTATTTTAGTAATGAACTAATAATAGATTTCAAAACAGACATGAACAAGACATATTGTGAATTGAGTTCAAAATCATCTATTCTATGAAAAAACTATTTTCATGAGCTTTGTTTCGGTATAAATCATTCTTACAATACGATCATGTTGTTCGAATATGACAACGTTTCGATAAAATAAATAGCCATTAATGAGATGAAAATAACCACGAATAACATCATAAGTGACTAGAGTGCTATTTCTTCTATCAGTTTTATCACATATTACAGTTTTCGAAGCACATGAAACATAATGGGTTTTATTAGCAATTTTAATTAATTGTTCTTTAAATTTTTACATCTATTGTTTATAAGGCAAAGCATTTCGAAACGAAATTCGTCGATTTATTCAACAATTTACAATAGAATTTTCTCATATATTACATATTCAGTAATATCAAAAACAATGATACTATCAGAACACTGTCAAGTTATTATTTAACTCGAAGTATGTCATCTCCAAGATTTAGATGAAAAACATACAATGTAAATTCTATTGTTTAAAACGAGTAGAAATATCGTTTATTTATTTTTTTAATACCATAGAAAAATGTCCAGATTTCATTGCTTCTTGATGTCAATTTAATAATGGATTGCTTTATTATTATTTGTCTTTCGTTAATACATTTTATTTTCTGAATAAAATATATAGAGCATTCCAAGAAAATACTTATGAAGAATTTTTTTTAATTTTCGCAACTCTTTTATATTAGATGATAATGTCTCTAAACAGGTTTGTAAGCCGCATAAATTTTCTGACAGCTTACATTAGGTTTAGTTCTTAACATAAAACCATTTGAACTTACAGAGCTTTTTCATTCAAACACTTAAAATATTCGTATATGACCACAACACTACTAAATATTAGCGATACATTAATTTCGGGAGCGGGATTTCGAAGATTACATTTTCTGATGTTAAGACCAAATTATTCTGTTGGGATGCCGTCATTTGATCAAATATGAAAATATTCTAACGAAGAAGTACTGAAACTATGTATATTTTGAACCGAGTAAGTGATATCTTTAGTTTATTATTGTTCTTGTCATTACTTTATTGACTTGCAAATGTAGTCAATAATAAAGAAAGATGAGTGATACATAATAATAATAATAAAAGATAGAATGGTGTCAATGTGGATTAACAGAAGGTTCACACCTCAAATCCTATATTTCCATTGTTTTCTTCATTAGTTTGTTAAAGAAGTCTTGCGAGAAAAAAATATGCATGATTTGTTGCAAGAACAAATAGTATCTGCTCTTATCGATTCTCTGTTCCAATCACAATATATCTGATAGGGCTACAAAGTTTTTTTTTACCAACCTTAGATATTTTTTTGTTTATTTTCATCTCCTACGGTTCAAATAAAAACATCAAAATTCAGAGAACATCCTCGAAAAAATCACCCGTTCATATTGTTTTCAAAAGAAAAAAAAACTAAGCAACCTAAACATTTTGTAGCAAAAATAAAAGAAAGTTTGAGCTCAAACCAATGTACTTTGATTGATAAACCAGAACGATTGTCCACTGTTTATTTTTGTCAAAGAATTTTTTAAAAAAACCAAAATCATGTCTAAATTTTGATATTCTTCAGCTTTCATGGTTACATACTAATTCTTGAGATAGATCCATTAGATACAGAATACTTGAACGTGTGTACAATGAAGAAAAACAGAAAAAGAAAAAGTTAATAATTTTCGATTGCCAAAAGGATCAGTCTCTGTAAGACAGTACTCGATTAAGGTTAAAATCTAATCCAAGGCGATAAATAGACTGACTTGATTTGACAGGGATAAAATACTTGAAAATATAATAATAAAATCATATGAAAATCATTGTACGATAGAAATTTTTCTCCGCATACCACAATATTAGTATAGAATTCGATTATTCTTTCCAAAGGCAATCGAAACAGTTGTTGTAAATGTATGACATTATGTTTAAAGAAAATAGTTATTAACATCAAGCATAGTAATAACCTTGGAGTACATATTATCGATCTGTTCAAGTCGCAAGATTGAAATGTATACAACACCAATAAACATATTTCGTCTAACAAATACATTTTTGTTAACATGTAATTTAAATAAAAATTTCATTTGATAACAAATATTTGTTCGTACTCAAATTCTTTTTCTCTTTCAAATCAAGTTTGAAACTTTAAAATCTTTATTATTTAATTATTGAACTCAGTTGCTGCTATTTGATAATATTTACTTTTAATAAAAATTACATTAATTAAAGAATTCAAATGGTCTCATTTGATATCGATTGTTCTTTCGTACTTCATCATTTATGTAATTTAATACTTTTCGTAAGTATTTTCTTGAAATAATTACAATTTCTTTTATTTCATTCTTTTTATACCTCTTAGATTGTTTCACTTCATTAAAACAAGAATAATTCGTATGGAATGTATCTAGATATTTAAAATCAATTAGAAATAATGGTATAATTTGTGATTCATGAGATAAAACTAATATATTTGCATAAGAACGTTCAATTTTTCCGATACTATGATGTTTTGGTATCGCTGCACATACTAAAAGAGTATTGGTAGCATTAACATAGGATAATGAAAAAACCGCTGAATAACTTGAATAAATCCCACTACCAAACGCTCGACCGTTTGCTGAAACAATAATAGGTGCTTCTCTATTAGATGGATGAGCTTGATTTGGTATCAAAAACCCATAACGAAGAATACTTTTGATATTATCTAATTTTGTACCATGATAGACTAAATCTAGAAAGTAAGAAGTATTTTCATTTAATCTTTTCATAAAATCTTTTTGAACACATTCATTTATGGATGCAAGACGAATATCAGTTACGTCAATACTAGGATAATCTTGAGGAGAAGATTTTATTTTTTGATGATTAATATGATAAAAATGACGGCGAAAGTTTGAAAAATTTTGTAAATATTGAGCTTCAAGTATTTTCAAGGGACTTGTTGGTACATTTGATTGAACACAGATTGGTTGTTTTGATGAAATTGTGGATATGGAATTAGATAAAATTGTTGGTTTCATATGAAATATTTCATCACATTCGAAAATCTTTGAATTTTTTGAAATACGATTATAACGAAATGTTTTTTGTTCAGCTTTACGTGTTATTTTATCGTTCATACAATTAATTTTAACTAGTTTTGATTGAAATTTAAGAGCTTTCAATGAGATTGAGCATGAAGACTTTTTGTAATTTTTGTTTGCTTTTTCTCGATTTTGAATATTGATGAATTTCAAATAGATCAATTTGATAATCGATGTCGAATGAATCTTGACTTGAATGATAATCAAATATATCATAATCATTATTTGACGTCATATCATTTCTATGTGTAGATATATAAACGTAGGATCAATATTCGACGAATGCTATTTCTTCCAATTTGAATGTTCACCAGACAAAATGAACTTAATGAAATACTCTACAGTTAATTATAGTAAAGTAAAGAGAAAGTTTTATAGATGCTACCAATTAGATTGAAAGTAGATACATAGCTGAAGATGAGGGTGAACAACAACATGTAGGACTAACGACTAGCTGAAGGTGAAGATTGACTTTTCAAATTTATAGCTCTTTTTTGATAATGTTAAAATGTATTATATGCTACCAAATAGATAAGTCCAGAAAAATCCCAATAGTTCCTCATGTATTGAAATGTGAGAAATTTATAATGAAAAACTTACCAAATCTGTAGACACTTGATAATATAATTAGAAGACTAGAAATAGGGAATATTCTACTCTAAATAAACCGACAGAAAAGAAAGCTTCAGTTTATATAGATGTGGTAGATATTACGAAAAAATGGTGAAAAATTACGAAATTTTTGTTTCTTTTATGAGACATGTCGCCATTTATTTACTAACACATGCTTTTTATACAGAAGGTGTTGAGAAATTCTGATTATCTGAATCCACGAAGCTTTTTATAAAAGACAATTTCCTTTGAAGAAACGATACATCAGACATGATAGAAGACTCTTTGACTAATTAATTTTTCACAAAATCGGAATTTTAGTTAGTATATTTAGACTGAAATATGTCTGACTTTTTTAGTTTTAAATTGAAAAACCGTAAAAGACTATAGTCAATATTAATTCTAAGTTTTTTAAAAGTCAAAAATCTTTTTTCCAATTCTCTCAAATGATTATTAATATTTGAAAAATGTTTTTAATGAAAATTTATGAGAATAAATAAAACAATAGAGCATTCAAAGTCTTCTATTGGAGGCAAGGGTTCATTTTTCTCGTGTGATATTTTGCATTTTTTTTTACATGAAACTGAGGCTGATTTCTATGCTTTGTCAATCAATAGGTACTGTTAATTTTATACAGAATATTGGACTCAAATGAAAGTAAAGAGTGATTTTATGACATACTAAGAAAATAATCAATAGATGACATATTTGATTCCAGTGGTTCAAAATCAATTAAAATCAAGAGAAAAACTGTTTTCATTTGAGGACATTGATAGAGTCTATATAACTTTTTAAATCGTTTTAAATTATCTGTTTCTCTGTTGCTCATTATTAAAAAATAGATGAAATTTTTAATCATTGATTTGTCGTAAATCTTAATTGTTTTCACTATAGCAGTTGAGTGAATATCTTACAATAAAGATCCTTCTCCTATACAACATGCCATTTTTATCATTGACTTGAATAACTAATGAATATACTAGTCTTAATCATTCTGAAGATATTGTTGAGAACTCAGATGATAAATTTTGACTTGAAGAAGTGAAAGTGCGTGAAATACTCCTGAAGATTCTTAAGTGGTATAGGTGTGGATCAAGATAAATTTAACATCCACCCACCCACACCCACACTCTCAAGAGTTCGAGAAGAGGAAAATCTTGAGAGATTATTTTGAAAAATTCATGTTTAAAAGAACGTGTATCAATCATGATCAAAAACAAGACATTGCCAAACATGTCACGTTGAAAGAAATTGTTGAGATGAATAAAATAATCGAATTGATATGGAAGTGAATAGACATGAGATCTACCTTCGATCCCTGTTGATTCAGTATAAACATATGAACCAACTTAATCATATCTTTATCCAATGAAACTACATTGAATGTCTTCATGTGATGAAAGATCAATTCTAGTGCTCTTGTTAGTAGCAACTGTATTTATGCTGGAAGTAAATTTGTTCACTTGTGGCATATAAATAAGAATTTGATCATGTAATTGAATACCATCAATGTAAATCGAGTCAATTCTGATTACTGACAAGAACAATGTCAATTCTTTCAGATTAATCATTTGATGAAGTAATGGAATAATTTCATTGTTATATTGTATTGTGTATTCAATCGAGCTCATTGAGAAACACTTCAATTTAGGAAGTTTTCTCTATGAAGAACATATAATTAAAAATACTTTTTTTTAATTACTTTAATGTTTTTCCTCAAAACACGATGACCAAAAATCATATTGACCATGTTATATATGTTCGACCATGGACTTAAAATTTTCTTCACATGAATCATCAATGTCGATAAACAATCCAGATGTTCATCAAGGAGATAAAGACAGTCATTAAAACTTAAGATATGAATTTTCAAATTAGTTAAAGTTGAAGACAAATGATATGTTGATGTTAGATCATAAAAAACACAAATTGTAAAGTTTCGATTATGGTATGATTCACAAAAATTCAAATGAGTTAATCGTTTACATAAAGACAAAATCAAGACAAATATATCTGATTCAATTCTTCATTCTTTTGTTGTTTGTGTATCCTGTAAATCGATATTAAGATTTGTAACTTGTTGAGTAAGTAGTTCACGAAGAATTGAATCATCTTTAATTTAAACAATGAAAACGATGATTAGTTTATGTCTAATAATGTCATTATTTTTTTTTCAGTAAATAATACAAAATTAAATACTATACCTGTTGAATAATTTAAAAGTCTTTTTTGCTTGAATATTAATAAGTGATGACGAGTAAAGTTGTGAATAATTCACAGTATGTAGAATACGTTTCAGTGAATATTGTTCAACAATTAGCTCGTTTACTTGATGATGAATTCGAGGTAAGATTTTTTTACATATTCTATCAAGAATATGTTCGTCTATTGAAGAAGTAGGATCATAATATGATTTGATTCTTATGCTAACCATATTAAGATTACGGATATAAACTGAATCGAGTATTAAATGATTTAATCATTCATTAGCATCCACAAGTGAATAGAGAACATCAATCATGCTCAGTTTATTGAAAATGGTAAGTAACATTTCGTTGGATAAATTAAGTAGAGTAAAATGACTACTATTCGAAGTGTTCGAGTCTAAGTACCTCTGTTTATTCTTGTGAATTTATATGTTTACATTTTTTTGATACTCATCTATGAGAACAATGAACGGAAAACATTGATGTCATAATATTAGGCTGTGATAAATGGGTCACATTATTTTTCTTCCTGACTAATATGTTTTGGTTATTCATTAATAGTCTATACATCAGGTTGTTATCAATCAGAGATAAGAAATCTAGCTTCTTCTCTACAGACTGATGAAACTATATATACTAATTGATCTAATTGACAGAATACATCAAAAAATGTGAGTACTATGATGTCGTCAATCTACAGTAGTATCCTAAAGTCTACTTGACAGAAATATATTCTAATCAAATATGAAATGAACTTGCAAATTAGTTTAACGTGAAGCTCTACATTCCTTTTACAAGCACGATCTTACAAGGAAGTTCGTATTCCATATCCGAGTTTACATTTTATCAATACCTATCTTTTTAAAACAATCATGCAAATTATTTTTTGATGAAATTCACACTTTACATTATCATATTGGTTCTTCCGCGTTGATAATTATCGAATGAAAAGAAAAAAACAACGAATCTCTCTCAAATGAATTTCAATCTCAGCACAGAAATTTTTTCGTTGTTTGTTATTAGCATAATGACTTTTTCGTAGGAATAAAATCCCAATGATTGATTTAATCCAGAAATTGTCGCAATTTTAAGATAAAAGTCAATTGATTTTAGATGAAAAAAATCTAAAGCAGCATTAGTAATAGTTGAAACATCAGTTAGGAAATTTCTTTTATAAGGTTTTAGTGCACCGATACAATTACATACATTACAAGATAAATAGAAATCGAAAGATTAGATAAAAATACTTTATCATTATTAACAAAAAAAAAGAGAAAAAAATTATTAATAAAGTGGAAAAACAATTAAAGTTCAGTGATAATGATTAACAGTAGGAAAATCAGTTAAATGAAGAAGAATTCACAATTAATAAATTAATTCAACAAATCGTCATGCTTTGTTATTTTGTTCTCAATGATCTCGTATAACTCTTCTTGAATTTTTTTCATTAATACAAATATCTGGTCCACGTGCTTCTCTTTGACAATCATTGATGTTAATTGAAAGTTCATTTCATAAAAATCAAATTCTTTCCCTTTTTAATAATTATCATATTCCATTACCTTTGCCAGAAATTTATATTAAAGTTATACAAAAATTAGCAAAATTGCATCATGCTTAGCAGTTCTTTTTGTTGAACAATTTGAAATAACATGAATAGAATCAATGAAGTAATTTCGTAACAGTCATCTTTCCAATGAAGAGTTATTTAATAATAATAATGATGATGATGAACAATTACAAAATATAGATGCTTTTAAACAAGAATGGCTCGGAATGAGAATTTTCAAAGATTTTAATCAGAAATTAAAGGAAAAATGTGTCGAATATATGGAGTACTGTAATTTGAGATTGATTCTACTTGAGTATCGAATTTTAATATTCAACTCTTTTAGAAGGATGAAAGCAAAATATTCGCGTTTGTTTTGTAATTCAAATAGACTTAAATCTCAGGAAATTCAATAAAAGTGATGATTGCTGCCGTTTTGAATTAGAAAAAAAAAGAAATTTGCGCAAATAATTTATATCATCAACTGTTAAATAAAATTAAAGTATTAAAACTCAAAAGAAAATTCACAAAACTGGATACTGTCAGAGAAATTAACCTTTAATAATCGTACAAGATAAGAAGATCAAGAATAATGTAAAAATCTGAATATTTCTATCGATAAATATTCAATAACTTTAATATTGATAAATTGTGTTATCATAACTAAT